TGGCGGTGTGCGAAGCTGGTCAATTAATTCATAGCATGCAAGGATTTCCTGTACAAAATGACTGGTCTGTGAAGGACTCTGAGGTTTTGAAGCTTGGGGAACTGAGAAAAACATCAACATGTCCTGGGCTGAGGCCAAGTGTCGCATCTCCTGTATGCTCATGGATCTTAAGAGACCCTTTAGCTCCAATCTGTTGGCATATCCCAAGTGCTCTTTGGCGGCCTGTCTCGTTCGATCAGGATTCGACGCCCTGGGCGGGTTTTCTGTGGGTAGTTCCCCGAACCCGAACAAGTGGATTCGATCATAGCCCTAACATCAACATCAATCACAACCCAACAAAAATGCACGGACTGGCCCAACACAAACAGGAGATGGTACTTGAATTCATAGAGGCTATCAAAAGGGTTTCGATGGACCACCCAAAACCGGGGGCCCCAGTGTTAGGATGCATTTACTCCAGAAACTCCGACAATTTGAAAGTCTTCCAATCCCAAAACAACACCCGCTTCCATGTGCGCTGGGCAGTGGGTTGTCCACAGGCGGGAACCAGCCCTGTTGGCATGTGGTTCCAAAAAAACAAAGCAAAACACCAGCAGGGGAACAAACGACAAACCCTCACTGCAAAATCTGCCTCACCCGACCAACTCTTGGAATGCGACTTCTTAACATGTGTGAAGCCTCTAAAGTCTGGAAAGAATGAACATTGCAGAATTGAAGCTAGACTGATCAAATCATTGGCGTTTTAAATAAACATCCCCCTACAAAAAATTGAAGACCATTCAACAATTCCAAGGTTCTCTGTGGTCTTCCAGGTGGTGAAGAGATCGAAAGCCTCAGAAGACAAGGAAGGCCAAGGTGGTTGCGCATGACGCGACCTGTGTGTGTCCATCCAAATGGTCGCCGCCTCTGGGATCAGCAGGTCTCAAAGGGAACATCACAACGCCACTTCCACTTTGATGGAAGGGCCCCCGTGAAGACCTGCCGTTTTCCTCTACAAGCATGGTGGTTTTTCATGTTCATGTTGGTGAGTCGGAGTGACACCATGGACCGCTGCCCGGTCCGTCGTTCCCTCCGGTCGCCCGCATGGAATTTTGGCTCCAAGCCACAGGTCATGCAATCTGGGCAGCAATATAATCCGCTGCCTGTGGTGATCAAAGGACAATCAATGGAATCGAAGTGTCTGCTCCTTTGAAGGGTGGTTTCTTCTTGATTTGGGGCTAGTTAAGGTGCAATTCTGGCAGGAAGTTCTGGAAACAAACATGATTGATTCCCTCCGTTCAGCTGACATGAGAAGCAGCAAAAGTGTCCAAAGCTGCCCGTCTGTAGTCTATCACCTATAGTCTATCCCTACCTACTGTCACCAACTTCAATCACAGCAGGTGACTTGAAAAGAGCTAATCCGCAAATAGTGGCCCGATGCGACCGGGTCACATCAGGGTCACATCAGGTTCCTGTTTACAAGGCGTTTACAGTCTTTTCTACCGATTGTGATTGCCGGAAAGTTTGAGTTTTGTATCATATCATTCCAAGTGGAAGCAGCAGGCTGCTTTTTGGAGGCTGGGTGCTGGTGTCGCAGGTGCTGGTGCCGCAGTGTGGAGCGGCTGCTGCGAGATGAAAATATGTTGATGGCCACTGGTGCGTTTTTGGGGCCCTGCTGGTGCCGCTGCTGGATGTCTTAGTCGTGTGTTTGCTCTGGAGCTTCGATGCCTGTTGCTGCCTCGACATCCATGTGCGAGTGTACGCAAAGGCGGCCGTGCTGGGGCCACTGCCGCTTCAGGTTGCTGCTGCCAGATGTCAATGGCAGTGTGAAGCGGTACCAGCACTCAGGCTCCAAAGCGCACACTACCACACACATCTGGCAGCAACACCCTGCAACGGAAGCACCTTTTCCGATACAAGTAAGACCCCAACAGCCCTCCCAATAGCTCCCGCTATCTGGGGAGAAAAGGTTGCCCATGTGAAAATCAATGAACATCATTACTGTAAACCAATGGAATATAGCTGGAATATGTACATGCTGCATGTCCTCAAACACTCTCAAACAGCATGGAATAGTGAAAACCGATGCGACTTCCCGAACAGCTTTCGACGCAAGGAATTGCAACATTTTGCGAAAACTGGTGCGACCAAAGTGTCTGAGAGCATCCATCTATACAACTAATCTATTTGTCAGTCTATCCATCTGCCATCTATCACAATCTATCTATCTATCTATCTATCGATCCATCGATCCATCCGCCCATCCATCCGTCCGTCCGTCCATCCATTTATCTGTACCATCTATAACATCTATCTAGTTATTTATCTTACTACCTATATTTATATCTTTATCTAAAGCTATATCTCTATCATTTTCTATCTATCCATATCTATTTCTATATCTCTATCAGTCTATCTACCTGTACCTCTCTGTCTATCTATCTATATAATACATCTATATCTATATATAAACCTGTCTATACACGTGTATCTGTATCTATCTGTCGTTCTATCATGTACTGTTGTTTTGTATGGGGGCATCCAACGTCTTTGGCCTTGTGTTTAAATCAACTCCGGGGCTCGACGAAAGGAGGCGACACTCCCTGAACTCATGGAAGCGGAGTGCACCACCTGTTTAGTATTTGGACATATTCATCCAACAGCCATGTTCCACTTCCATGATTTTGTCGGGGCGTGTGCATTCATCAAGAAAATGGATGAAGATGGACTAAGCAAGCAGCTTCATGGCACTGTGGCACAGAGATACCTGCCTTCTTCGTTTCAATCAAAAGAGGCAAAAACTCATCAGCACTCACCTTTTTGGGCATCCAAATCAGCCAATAGCCTATCCCATATGTACCACATTTATCACTAGTTCGGGTCCTAGTTCTGGTCTCAAGAAAACTCTCTCGCCTTCCCAAAGCATCCAAATTCGTGGCCGCTGCCGCGATTGCAAACCGGATGTCTTCACCCAAACACTTCATGTCTGGAAAAAAAGAGCCATGAAGTCCCATGGAGTATGGAAGTCCCATGGAGTCTGCCATGGAGTGTCTGGGTCAGCTTGCCGCGTGCGTAGCGCGGCCGCCACGGCTCAGGACCCGGCCTTTGATCTTCATGACCCTGCGAAGATCGCCTCACGACCGAGCCGTGTGGAGCAGGGCGGCAGCGATCCGTTTGGCCATTGATGGGCTTGAGGGCAATGGATCGAAGGAGGCCTAGGTATTGAATCAAATTGGCTTGAGGGAAGACCTATATGGTTTTCACACCCCCAAACAAGAATAAATGGTTTTCTAACGTTCCGTATCTTCCAAAGTCTACGAGGCCAGCGCCATGTGGTGGTTGCGATGCTGGGCTCGCCACATTTGAGTCGACGTGGGCTGAGGATGCTTCGAGATGTGACGATGTGCAGGAAGAAAGCTCTTGATCCACTGTGGACTCCCCCGAAGTGTCACGGATGCTCAGGATTAAGGTGACTTCTGCTGTGATGATCTTTGATGACTGTCGCAACATCAGATCATCAAGTTCATCAGCATCTGGCAAGAGTAACTTGTCACTGTCGAACCCTGTCTTCCTTCAAGATCCTTCAAACATGTTCTTGTTGGATAAAAACGTTGTAGGTCCTGGGATCCAAGGACAACATCCTATTCCAACACACTCCATGCATGGAGTATATTCTGCCCCATTGACCCCCCGAACCGCACCGATGTAGAGTCATAGAGTGCAGTTTGGGTTATATAATGTTATATATATATATCTGATCACGACGATAATGCTAATGCGTGTTGGTCGCAAGCGAGGTGCCGGCCAGTGGGTAAGGGTCTCTTGAATTCTTGTGCGTAGGCATGTGCAAGCAAGATTCCACGGCAATTCTGTGGGTCTGGAATCTGGAACTGTCCATGAAACTCCTATTCTCTCCCACAAAACAACCACGCATTTGCGCAATACAGGGCCTTCTGGGAGGACGCTCTCGAGCTGATCGCGATCCGGAAGCTCCAAGAAACCATCCTGGCCGCAACAAACGTCGCCCCTATAGCCACTCTGGACCCCGACATGGCCACAGCTGGTACCAAATTTCAATGTTTCATCAGTCGTCGAGACGGGAGTTCGAACTCTTCAAGTTCTTCAGTCGGAGGGTTTCTTGGAGCGGGGGGTGCCAGAAGTTCCATGGAGCTGGGTGCCGAACGCATGCCCCGGAGTTCGCCGATGCAACTCAAAACCACCCCGACCTGGAACTCCAGAACTTTGAGCGTTTTTCGTGGAATGCGGATCCGTGATGTTTTGGTGAATCACTGACTCTTGGGAATTTTGCAGGTGAACCCGCCGAGCGGCTGTCAAATGACCCCAAGTACCGCTACCGAGTGGCTCTCATCTACAAACATTACCTACAACTCTCATAACGTAGAACTTTCACCTACAAACAAACCACTGCATTGTCCCACAGGAAGGCCCAACTGAACAAGGAACAAGACTTCATGCAACCCTTAAAATCCCAACATCAAAATAGAAGCCCCCAAACAAATCTGCAAACGGTGCTTTGTCATTTCTCCATCAACACGCTGTTTCCGGGTGTATCGACTCGGCTGGAAGGAAAGCCCTGCGGAGGGTGGGGCAACTCCGCTGGCGCACCTCGATGCATTGTTTCCAATCATGTGGTTCCCATGGCGGAATCTTGATACCCAAGGCACCTGGCTTCAAGACCAGACATGACGCTCTGCTGGTCCTTTAGAATTTACAGGCCTCGACCATTTTCCTATTGAGTGGTCTTGAGTTTCCTTGTTAGTCTGCAGGGGGGTAGGTGGGACATGGGAGACGGGAGTAGAGCAGGTTCTATACCTGATTTCCAGCCTCAAAGTAATTGCAATCCGCCGAACGGTCAAGGCAAGAAAGGGCTCCCTAACCAGAAGACTGCGGGAATAGTTGGTAATCCACCAACATATTTGGACGTTCTCTTTGTTCCCCAACTGTCAGGTGAGGATTTTTTTTATGTCAGCTGCATTCCGCCTCGCCCGCCTCCGCCTCACCTCAACCGCGAGGGCCGCGCGGCAGTGTACCCGCCAGACCTCAACCGCCAACTCCGTGTGGCAGTGTCCCCCGCCAGACCTCAACCGCAAACTCTGGCTGGCAGCTTTCCCGGCCAGACCTCAACCAACACACAACCACACACACAACCACAATCGCAACCGCAAACACTATCACAAACACAGAGCCACGAACACACAGGCGCAAACACAAACGCACAATCACAAGCACTGAGCCACAAACATATATCACAAGTACAACCACAACCAGTACAGGGCTGAGGTAGTGGAACCTTATCATGGTGGAGGGGGTTTCTGGGAATGCCGGGGAATCTGACAGAAAATGCATGGAAATACAACACATGGTAAAGCCGCGTTCAGCAGCAACCACCCTCTTTTTCGGCTCACAGAGTACCTGCTGCATCTTGCTTGAAGGCATGCTATCATAGCGCGTGCCTTGCCACACTATACCCACGGGGCCCTTTGGCGCAGTGCCAGGCTGCATTGCGCCAAACCTTCCAAACAGCACGTAATCACCTCCATCCGGAATGAAGATGCCAATCCTACTGTATGTACATGGGACCAGGTATAGAGCATGTGGTAATTCCGGTTGTGATTTCGAATTGCTCAGCAAACTGCCTGAGCTTCTCACCCTGTGACCTGAAGATCAAGCCTTTCTACCTGCACGCACGTTCTATGCGCTGAGCCTTCACTATTTGGAGAGACAGGGGATCTCACCTCAAGAAGGCTTGAGTGCACAAGCTGCCCTATCTACGCACGATCTTCTATCTGCAGCACGGATAGAAGATATGCGCCATTGCACGCTAAAGGCAGTTCGTTTGAACTAGCAACCTGCCCAGAAGCTGCTGAGACTGCTCCAACGCTGGAACCTCCTCAAACGCAGATCTAGGAGCCTCCTCCTCAACTTTCTCATTTACCTGAGCAGGAACCTCCTCCAGCTCCGGAACCTGCTCTGGAACTAGCACCGGAACCTTGGCTGAAGACCCCGAAAGCTTCGCTGTTAAGGAAAAAATATCCTTTGAAAAGCGTCTACAATCAGGTGATGAGGAGGGCCTGGGGTGACTTCATCTTCAACACGTTTGCAAGAACTTCGAACGTGTAATGGCGCCGATCTTCCACCTCCACACCGTGCACAGTGGAAGTTAACGGAGTTGCTTGGAAAGCACTAGCCACAAGATTTCGCTCCAAAACATGGAGCATACTAGACTAGGACTGGACAAAAACATACTAGCCTAGGACTGGACAAAAAAAAGCCCAACCTGGTGACCTTGATCCACTGCTTTGCCGGAAAATTTTGCCTGCGGTGGGCCAGCAAGAGGTGCCAGGACTGCCTGACACATGGCCCAGGTAGTTTGTCTGGTGTGGTGGCAGTGGCAGCTGCATTTGCACCCGCAGACAAGAAGCGTCCAGAGGGCTGAGCGTCGTCAGGCCATGAGAGGTGCTGGAGCTGTCACACACCAAACATCCCGTGTGTCTGGGCGTATATCGCAGGAACCGTGCATCCACCAGACGCAGTGGTCAGGCTTTCAAGAACGAGACGCGTTGCCTGCGCAGCTACATCCCTGTGTCCCCTCAGCATAAGCTTTCCCCGCACAGGTTCCAAATTCACAAGAGCCCGCTAGATGCCTGCTAGGAGCTCCTCGTCACCAAGATCACGCGGTTCTCCAGAAAGCACCTCGCCAAGAGCAGCAGGCGGAATTGCCTGCAGGTCTGGGGGCAAAGAATTGCTTTTGCCATGCCCTGCTCTGGGTTTCACAATTAAGCGATGAGGAGGGCGTGGGGCGACCACTCATCTTTAAACTTGACAGGTTTGCAAGAAGTTTGAATGCTTCCTTGACACGTTCCCTGTTTCTTGAAACAAATTGACTGAATGGCGCCTTCAATCTTCCAATTGAATATCACACCCCGTCCCACCAAAGCAGGCCTCCACACCAGAAGCCAGTGGAGTCGCCTGGAAAACACTGGCCAAAATATTTCCCTGCAAAACGTGAAACACGGGCTAGGGCTAGGACTGGGCGAAGCGAAAGGTATAATTAACCTACACTCATGCCACTTTTTGACTGTCGAACAGCTAAAATTGCGCGCCTACGCCCCAGGTCTGCACCGAAACTGGCTCAAGCGCAGGAATGTCTTTCACATCCAAACACAGTTTGTTTTGCCAGTTATATACCAATGCGGGCTATAGGCCTGCTGACCATTGCAAATGCCGGCAATTGAGACCAAACTCTCTAGACGCATTGGCATCCAAAGAGGCGAGAGATTGAGAGTGAGAGTGAGTGTGAGCCTGAGTGAGAGTGAGTGCGCGCGTGAGCGTGAGCGTGAGCGTGTGTGAGTGTGACTGAGAGGGTGAGTGTGAGAGTGAGCATCTGAAAGCACAAGGTGCTTCGCCGCCACGAAGGCTGCGCTCTGACGTTCACAACTTGGATGCCCGGTAAGTACTTGGTGGATTCGGCATACTTGCTGGAGAGTTTATACACGTTCACTGAGTTACTGCGCCGGCCACGAAATCTGTACTTCCAGATTCACCAACAAATACTGTGCCTGCCACGAACTCTGCACTTCGAGGTTCACAAAGTGCTGCGTTTGCCACGAATCTTCGAGATTCACAAAGTGCTGTGCCTGCCACGAAATCTGCACTTCGAGGTTCACAAAGTGCTGTGCCTGCCACAATATCTGCTCTTCGAGAATCACAAAGTGGCACGCACGCCACGAAATCTGCACTTCAATAAGGTCCAGACAGGAGCATGTCAGATTAGACACCGCCAGCTCAAACCTGTTTTTTTGCGCGTATGGTCAGCTCCAGCCCGGGCCAGGGTTGTCGGTTGCTGTGCACACTCTGAGCCTATCAAGGCCGCTGGAGCAAAAAACTAGTGGCCCAAAAAAGGACGAATATGGAAATGGCGAAGAGACGGTGACAGAAGCTTCTCTCATTTCTGGCCACTGTGAACAGAAGTTTTTCAGCCCATGCATTTCCAATCTATTCAATTCAAGAACCACTCTTCTACAAGGCACTTCGTTCCATTCTACACTCCGTTTGTGGCTGCCAGCGTGTTCCTTTCCCTCGGTGAGGTCATGAGAAACTGCCGTACACTTCTTCTTAGAAGTGCTTAGTCTAATTTTTTGTAATTTTTTTGTTGTTTGTGGGTTGCCGGTACATCACGAACGGTGCTCAAGCAAACACGTTGAAAAACGAGAAGACAAAATAACTCAAGGGCAGTGAAGTGTCCGTGGCCCCACAATGAAATATCTATCATGTGGGATTGCTGCCCAGTAAGAAGCTATACTCGAAGTAGACAGACACAATGTGAAAGTCTTGCCGCCAAGACTGGCTTATACCTGAGATGGAATGACACTGTCCTTTTTATCCGAGTGTAGCCAGTACTCAGCAGTTTCTGGGGTGTGACCCTGTCAACACCCCTTGGGAACGAGAACCGTCATGTTGAAGAACGAGAATGGGAAACATCTTTCTTACATCCGGCAACCGCATCACTCCCAATCAGATCATTTTTCCCGCCCAATGTAGGCGACAGGTCGAAGGTTTTTCTCCCAAAGCTGCAGCTCCAATGACTGAAGCAGCCATACCGAAGCAGCCGTGGCCGAAGCAGCCATCACTCCAGCGAATCCCAGACTTGGTCGTCATCTCTGCAGCGGGGTCCTCCTCCTCTTCTGGTTCTTCTTGGCCGCCATCTTCGCCATCATCAGGAGCGGTTGCCGCTGGCTTGGGCTTGGTCTTCGGCTTGGCCCTGGGGGGGGCACCTCCCCTGCCTCTGCCCCTCCCCTTTGGTTTGGGCTGCGGCTTGGCCTTAGGGTCAGGACCGCCAGAGGCCCTGAGACGGCGTTTTCTTCAAGCCAACTGCTTCAGAGTAGGCGGCCGAGAACAAAGGAGAGTTGCATGTTCTCTTTCAACAGCTCCAGCAAGCGATTCTCCAAGCCACGCGAGCGCGCCTTGCGATGCAGCAGATTCCAACGTAGCCTGTGCGCGTGCGCAGGCATGCCCAACAGAATCTGGCATCACTCGGTGTCATGTCTACACTATTTTCGCGTAATAGCAATGCGCAATTTCTTCGTAAAATGCAAGTGGCAAAGAATGGTAGCCTTTAGCGCATGGGTTCGGGCTCGTTTGCTGCACGGTTGGACGCGCGATCGTCACCATCGTCGGTTGTTTTGCCGCCCACTGGCACCAAATGCTTTTTGCCGAGCATTTCGTTTTCTCCTGCCATTTGACGCGCCATTCTTCCGCCAACTTGGGCCACGCTACTCCAAGCAGCAGGTCGCCATTGATGCTGCCCTCAAATGCTTCCGGGCTCACACAGGCAAAGTCAATTTCTTGCTGCCGAGGACCAAGCAAGGGTGCCCGCGCTTCTGACGCGCTGCTTTCTGGAGGCAAGGCTGTCTTCAGTATAGGCAATCAGACGGCTATCCCATACCAAGTTGGGTTGTCTCCTTCATCGTCGTCCTCGTCCTGTTGTCCTTCTTCATCTTCATCCTCAGCTGCTGCTGCTCCTTTCTTGTTCCCTTCTGCTTGCGCCTTCCTTCCAAGGTGCTAGAAGCTTGTTTTTGCTTTCCTGCTTGCCTCCATCCAAAATCCAACCCGATCTCACCCGGTTGGAGGGCACCGGGCCCATCCCCTCCAGATCTGGCGTTGAAATATGATTATTTATTCGTCTGATTGGGGAAAATTATCGTAAGCAAATCAATGCCTACAGTAAACTGGTCACATAGTTGTGTAAGGAGTAGTCAATTCGCCCTCTCCTTACACACTTTGGGGACGTCCCCAAAGTGCGGTGCGAGCAGCCAGAAAGTAGGCAAGAGCCTTGAATCAACAATCCGCTTACCGTAATTTCATTTCGTCCTCTTTTCGGCTGCTCCTTACGCACCTCGGGGACGTCCCCAAGCTACGGTGTGAGTAGGCAATTCGCCCTCTCCTTACACATCCCTTTTCCGCTATGCCGAGGCGCGGAAGGAGCAGTCAAAATTCTACCAGTGGTGTGGCCGGAGCAGCCAAGACCTACTAGGCCGAAGCAGCCTTCTTGCCACCGGCTGGGCCGAAGCAACCCTTTGAGCGCTTGGGCGAAGCAGCTTGACAAGGCGCTACTTGTAA